CCCCTTTTATTTTTAATTAAATATTTAAACAATAATCCCAACTCACTAGGGGGCCGGTGGGAATTCGGGGTTTTCAAATCAAATCAAATCAAATCTTTATTTGCACAAAACATTTACATGATTACATTGTAACCTTAAATTTTGGGTGGGGGAGATAAAACGTGGTTAATTATGGGGAGAAAAGGGTAATTCAACGGGTAACAGGGTAATTTATAGGTAATTACCCAGCAAGAATGGGAAATTCGTCTGTATAAATGGGTACTTTCCTTTGCCGCCGACGACGACGAGCAACGAGAGCTGGCAGTGACAGGAAGAAGACCATCAGAATTGTATTGTACAATAAATAAAAACAATAACAAAGTGAAAATAAAGTTGTTTGGTTATTTTATCCTTTATATTTAGTCAAAAAATGGCTTAAAAATATTTAAACAGGTCAATAAAAGTGGTGTAACATCTATCCCTGTGTGAATAGCCTATAACGATATCCTCTAAAAACGTGAAGTTAAGTTTTCAGTCTTCTTTTGTTTGAATATTTATAGTTTTATTTATTCAAGTTCTTAAAAAAACGTACACCGATCGTGGGTGCATTTTTACATTCAAAACACCAATAAAATATATAAACATATCATAACCTATTTCCATGTTTGTTTACATTGAAAATAAAAATATTTCGATATATCGAACCGAATCTGTATCGATATTTCTGCAGACATATGTTACGAATACATAGAGAAAACAAACACTTCAAGGAGTATGGAATTAATAATTAAATAAACATATCTCTGGAATTAACCAACACAAGTTGTTAGTCGTTTATCGTGCTTACAGTAGTTCATGTTGGTGACATTGGGTGCACTGGTGTCTACTATCTGATTTATTAATAGATTTCTTTATTTACTGTATTGGCAAATATTTACATTGGGATTATCAGTTCTTATTTAGGCATGTGAGGAAGGTAGGTCGGGTTTTATGCGGATTCGTGACTGTATTAAGTGTTTTGAAGTGAGGTTAGATTAGGAAGGTAAAGGTTAGGTTATAATGAAGCGACTCATTAATTTATGCAACTTCCAGACTGTTTTTGCACAATTAAATAGTGGGTGAAACACAATGAAATAACAATATCAAAAATGCGCAAGTTGAGCAAAGGACTTAATACAGTCACGAATCCGCATAAAACCCGACCTACCTTCCTCACATGCCTTTTCTGACATTAACTGCTATTTAAACATTAATATTAAGGTTGGGTTAGGTTAGGTTAGGTTAGATTAGATTAGATTATGTAACATCATTTGTTATTTAATTTCATGGTTTGTACTTTACTGTTTGGTTGTATATCTAGCTAACGAGTTCTCTTATAAAACCGATTTATGAAATCATACAGCAAGTTTGGTTGGTTTGGTTAGTTTAGAACGGTTTCATTTCATAATGAACTATTATTTTTTCCTCTGGGAATCGTACAGCAAGTTTGGTTGGTTTGGTTAGTTCAGAACAGTTTCATTTCATAATCAACGGTTATTTTTTTCTAAAAAAGTAAGTGTTCATAAGATCTACATGTTAAAATCTTAACTGCTGTACTTTGCTATTAAAAACGGGGTTTTACGAGAAATACAGAGGGAGTTCAGGTTAAATTGAGGGAATTTTAGGGGTAATTGTGGTACAGTGATCTGTCACTGCAACTGCATTGCTATTGTTTTGGTTTGTGGTAAAACAGATCAACAGATGATGTAATTGTACAGATTTCTGATTGGCAGATTATTTCTTTCGTGTAGTAATCTGATTGGCTGGTGGTTTCGTTGTTAGTTGTTTGTTTTGATCCGTCTCCATGACTCCATGTTGTTAGTTCAAAGTGAAGTAGTGACCAAGGAGGACGTAGCTCAGAGAGAGAGAGAGAGAGAGAGAGAGAGATGCTTTATTTGCTATCTTCAAGATTGAAATAGTGTCAAAAATACAAAGTGTATATACAAACAATTAGATTGACATTCTTCTTCCTTTACAATAAAATGTTCGAAATATTCAGTCGTTCCGCCAGTTGGTGAATTCAGTAATCGTATAGAATGGACGACCTAGCAGCCACTCCTTCAGTTTTGTCTTAAAAATTTTAGGTTTTGAAGTTTTGACTTCATCTGGTAGTAGGTTGAAGAACTTCGCTCCGTTGTACGATGGCTTCATTTCAAATCGCTTGCTGTGGTGGACAGGAAGGTTGAAGTCTCCTGCGCGCCGAGTGTTGTACTGGTGGGTATCTTCATTTTTGGGGAGACCCTTCAAGCAGGCGAGTGAAACAACTTCCAAGATGTAGATGTTCACCACAGTGAGAACGTTCCACTGTTTGAAAGGCTCTCGGCAGCTCTCCCTCCAGCCAAGGCCAGCCATGACTCTTAACGCTCTCTTTTGCAGGACCAGCACCCGTTGGATGATGTGAAGGGAGGCACTTCCCCAAAGCTGAATGCCATACCTAAGATGACTTTCAAAGAGAGAGTGATACGATGTTATTAGGGCTTCTGTCGTACTAATGCACTTGATGCGTCTTAGAGCGAAGGTTGCGCTGCTTAATCTCATGCATAGTTCGTCTATGTGATCAACCCATGAGAGCCTGTTGTCAATAACCAAACCAAGATGCTTTGATGATTCAGTGACCTGAAGATCTGGACAGCCAGAAATCTCATCTCTCTTCGTTCCCATGTTTACCTGCTTGGTTTTCCCCGCATTGAATACCAGGTCGTTCATGTTACAGTAATCAATTGCTAGGTTTAAGGCAATGTAAGAGTTAACTTCTAGATCTTCAACTGAATTGCTTGAAGTTACTAAGACTGTATCATCAGCGTACATTAATGCTTTGCTGTACGGCTCGATGTGTGATGGAAGATCGTAAGTGAATAGGATAAAAATCACCGGCCCCAGGATAGACCCTTGGGGTACGCCTCTTGAATTAGGAAGCAGTTCTGATCTGTATGTAGAGACTCTCCCATTCACTTTCTGTCGTAGTTGAACAAGTTGGTTGCGTCCCACTAGGTAGCTCTGAAACCATTTCCAGGCAACACCTTGCAAACCAAGTTCTTCAAGTTTTGCAAGGATCAGATTATGGCTGAGGCAATCAAAGGCCTTACTCAAGTCGAGGAAGACACTCGTTACATTCTCCCCCTTCTCGAGTTTGTCCACAATGTGTTCAATCAATTCTACCAAGGCTGTAACTGTAGATTTATTCTTTTGGAAACCATGTTGAGAATTTAATCTTATCCTGTTGATTTCTAGATGATCCGTGAGCCTAATAAGAACTATCTTCTCCACAAGCTTCGAGAAGGTAGAAACCAATGAGATGGGCCTATAGTTTTCTATGTCGTGTTTACTTCCTTTCTTGTGTATCGGAATTACTATTGAGCTTTTCATTTTGCTTGGGAAAATACCTTGGGACATACTTAGGTTTATTACATGTTGTAGAGGTGTTACTAGTTCATCTTTGCAGTGTTTAACCATGATTGACGAAAAATCATCTAAGCCTGAGGAAGTCTTGTTGTGTAGACTGCAGATAATCTTGAGCAGTTTTTGCTTAGAGGTAGGTGGAAACGACATCAAGGGAAATGGTACATCAAGTTGGGTGTGTTGTTCGATTCGTGGCTTCTGGTCAGGGATGTTTTTTAATGTATCTTCAGCAACTGATGTGAAGTAAGCATTAAAGCAATCAGCAAGTTTCCTGGGATCTTCTACTTTGTTTGAGTCCACCATGAGGTATTTACAACTTTCAGGTCCAAGCTCTTTTGACTTCCGCTCACTATTAATCACATTCCAGATAGCCTTCGACTTTATTGAGGACTCCGAGATGTAGTTGGCAGTGGCTCAAATTAGTGTTTAATTTTCATTCTTATTGTGTCGGAAAATCGCGTTCGGACATTATGTAGAAAACGTGATGATTCCTAGTGAAATATGTGGATACCTATCATTATGTATTTGTTGGACTAAGTGATTTCAATTTTCGTTGTAGGCTAGTTGCTGGTTGCTGGTTGGCTTGTTGGCTATCGGCAAACCAAAGACATGGTGCTCTCCGTGCGTGCCGGTTTTGGTTATTTTTGAGTGAGACAGCAGTAAATTATATGTCGAGTGCATATTCCTTGCGCATTTTTCACGGCGATATAGTGAATCCAACATTCTTGAAGTGTGGAATTGTGTAAAATTGGTGTATATTGAGGTTTTGGAGGAACTGTTGTTAGGGTCGGTTTTATTAAATTCCAGTCAATATTTAGGACTGCAATTGCTTTTCCCCAAATTATTATCCTCCAAAACTTCATTTTATACACTTTTTACACAATTTCACACTTCAGAAAGTGTTTTTAAGCTGGGGTCTGGGTCCTAAATTTTTACCTAAGTCACTCAACAAAACTGAAGCTTAATATTAATTATTTAACTGTACAGCCACTTAGGAATCTCTCCCACAAAAACTTATTGGCATTTTTTTATTCAGCGTGAAAAATAATGTAAGTAGGCTAGACATCTAAAAATTACATGATATCGTGTTGTAGACATATCAATTAGTTACCAGACAAACATTCACTCGTTTGACTCTTCTAAATAGACTATCAGTAGGCGTGTCGCTGTCACTGATAGGAATTCAAGAATGAGGTTAAAAAGAGAAATAGTCATCTTAGCATACGCCTTAGCCAAGGCCTAGCATAGGCTAATCAAATTACATTTTTGAGAAATAATTGGCCTAAGTTATTGGACTTTAGCAGTTAGCAGTCCCACTTAAGCATACCTATGCAAAAAACCCAGTCTTATTTTCTGTTGATTCATAAGTTTAAAATAGACCAAAATAAACGAGGGATTCTATGCCTAACATTACATTAATTAGTTAGATAGCCTATGCTTAGAACCTTAGAACTCTTAGAGTAGGCCAAGTTAGCCAGTCAAATGTATTGATAATTTGACATTGGCTAGAATTAGGGTCTAAATACAACCATTAATCTAAGAGTGAGAATATAGATGAAACTTATAAAACTTGATTTACTTACCCTAATAAGTAGTAGATAAAGACCTAAAATATTAATTTAATAATATTGATGGTGAATCACCTTACATTCACAAAAGAAAACAGTCTCACTTGGCAAAGACGACGGGACGGAACCTTTGACAACGACAACTGACAGTACTCAGTCACTCAGTCAGTCAGTAGACAGACAATAGACAATCAGAATCAGACTGAGACTCGGACTGAGTCCAGGACTCTCCTAACCATCATAGAAGGGCGGCACAATTTTTATTTCAGCAACAGTTTTTTTTATACGGACGTAGTAAAAGCATTCTTATTGGCTCATGCTCATAGTCATGGCATGACGTCACTGGTCACTCTTGTTGTTATCTCAAAGTTCAACCCGTTTCGTTCCGTTCACATTCCAGTTAGTTCCAGTCCAGTTATTACAGAACAGGGGGGCAGTTACTTCTGGAGGTTCCTATAAAATTTTGCCACTTTGAAGCTTTGAGATTTAATAAAAAAAAAAGAAAACGCCGAGCATGTTCAGTTATTGATTGAATATTTCTGCTATCGAACGGAATTTTGAAATGTTACAGCAAGTTTAGTTTATAACAGTTTCCTAATACTAGGTTTTCTTCGTGTACAGCCTGTTCCCTGGCTAGGCCCTAACAATTAAAAAAGTAACTGGATTAGGAACGCTTTCAGACTTTGCTTGGCATTTTGACTTGGATAACATTATTTTCATCATGACCACTGGGAGTGGGAGGAATCAAAGGACTGGGCTGAATTAGATATTTTTGTTGTTTGGGAGTGGGACTCTGGTTTTACGATTAGGATCCTTAGAATTGGTGCTAGGATGAGATGGATTTACATTTTCATCGGGATTGTCAGTTGGAGATAAAATATAAAAAAAACTTTCTGTTGCAATTATACAATCTACCATTATCATCCTTTACCACATAAGAACGGGTTGCATTTCCTAAAGCTGTTATCTTACCAGGGGACCAAGGACCATCTAGGTTCTTTTTAAAAAGAACTTTGTCATTTACATTCAACTCTGATAAAGGTTAAACATGTTTGTCATAATATTTTTGTACAGACTGTTTTCTTTTATTTACAAGATTGGGGGTTGGTTTTGTGACCTTTGACTCTAGTAACTTTGCTGAACATGTTAATAATGAATTTAAGTTTCTCGAAAACAATAATTGTGCGGGTGAAGGTAAATTACCTTTAGGAGTGTTCCTGTAATTGATTAAACCGATGTAGGGGTCTGTGTTTGAATGTTCACATTTTTTTCAGTATACCTTTGGCTATTTTTTACTCCTGACTCAATTTGTCCGTTGGACTGGGAGTGCTTTGGTGAAGATAGGACATGACTAAATTCATAGCTATTTACAAAGATTTGAAACTCATAACTACCTAGTGAACTGAGTACTAGATCAGTTACTAGTATTTGGGGGATTCCATGTCTTGCAAACATTGACTTTAATTTGTTAATAACACCTTTTGAGCTAATATCATTTAGAGACACTAATTCAATGTATTTAGAGTAATAATCCATTACAACTAAGTAGTGCACGGATTTTAATTCAAAGAGGTCTGCTGAAACTTTAGACCATGGCAGGGATGGTATTTCATGAAACAGGATTGGTTCTTTACAGTTGGGGGAATGTAAAGCACATGTCATACAATTATTTACAAACTCCTGTATGTATGAATTTATACTAGGCCAATACAAAATATTTTTTGCTCTCTTTTCACAGTTATCTCGCCTAACGAAGCCAATATGTTCCTTGTTAGCTTAAGCATGTGAGGAGCGTCCAATAATGCACACCTTACTAAAAAAGTCAAAATTTGGATCAAAAACGTCTAAATTTGCTCCCAGCATACTTGCCATACGTAGGTTTGATTAAACACCATCAAACGTCAAACTTATAGTCACTGCTCCAGTTTCAGCAATCTTACGCAAAACATCGTCAAACTAAATTGCATTTTTTCAGCGCCAATACTGTCGATTAAAAAATACCCACAGGGTATTTTCCATGAGCCATTCAATGCTACAGCCATAAAAATACCAACACATTTTTGGCTTCTGGCAAACTATCATTGATATCGAGTCCAGTGCCAAGATCTAAGTATCCATTCATATGTCTCCCGTCGAATTCTATATGTTTCTTTATCGCCATTTCATCCATCATTAAGCACACTACTTCTTGTTTATCTTTCTTTTTAGACTGTTCAACTTGCAACGCAATATGGCTTTGAAGGCTTCTTCAGTAAATCCTGGCTCGCCACCTAAAGAAGAATACCATCTTCTTAGTGTTCTAGGGTGAGGTAGTGACCTTCAGAAGGTTTTCCTTACATAGTTATATGCGCTCGGTGAGTAATAATGAAGAGTAAGTGCAAAAGAGTGAACAGCAGGGGAATATTTTGCCTTGTCTGTGTATTGCTGATAACTTTCAACACCTATTGCTGGCTTTTGGGATAAACCATCTTTTAAAATCATGCATTGTTGGTCACAGATTTTTTTCCCTTCAAATCGTTGATAATATCATTTAAAGTGTTGCATTTAATTGTTAATCTTCTGTGACAATACTGTAGGGTTTTTATTTTCTTTTTGTTAGTTTCAAGGTTTTGTTTTAATTTGAGTAAATCTATCTTTAACGCCTTCTTTCTTGGAGTATCTATTAGGAATTCACTCTCTTCTGTGTGATCACTTATACTGTATTGCAAATGTCAACTATGTCAACACTTCGACCGCCATCTTCACTCTCTGTCTGTGCGCTACTATCTGTTTTATGGCGGTTACTACTATCTTTGAAGCTTGCACTCGTACTAGGTACAATTATCTTTTCACTTTCTTCATCCTTTGAAAAAATAATCTTGGGAACATTACCCATATTAAATGTTGTCACAAACATTCGAAAACGGTATAACGATATAAATATTTAATGTTTAATCCTCCTAGGGGGTGGTCGCTTTCTCTTTTGCGGTGTTGCCATTTGTGTACGGTGTTGTCAGATCGTTGATTTTCTTTGATATTTTAAATAAGACGGAATTGTGGTAATCTTTTTTATTTAGGAGGGTGTCAGAGCTGGTGTTAATGTGCATTCAGTATATATGTATTTCATAGCTTTCTTTCACTATTGCAGTAGATTTGGAGTTGGTTTTGTGAAGAATTTGTAATGATTCAGGATACGTAATTTTGTGGCTATGATTTTCTTTCAAGAGTTTAGCTACTAGGCCTATTTTGAGCTGGGGTTGGCATGGTTTTCAGTGTTGTTTTCTTTGAATCTTTTGTTAAAAGTTCTGTTTGTGTAACCAATATACTGTTTATTGAAGGTGGGCGCACATGTAATTTTATAGACTCCTCATTCATTATCTGTATTTTCTTTGTTGGTTTCTTGTTTGTAAATAAATGGGTACTGGATTGGTTTTAACCTTGTAAGCTGGTGTGTAGCCTACTTTATTAAAGATTTTCATATTTATCGGTTGTCTTATCGGTGTACTTGATTGCTACGTATTTCTGATTGCTACGTTCGACTGATTTGAATGTTAATTTTGTGTGATGGATTTAATTTTCTTTCTGGTTTTGCCGATCATAGTTTCCACGATTGTTGGGGTGTAACCGTTATTTCATGCTATTTTTGTATGGTATATAAAAAATATGGTATATATAAAAAATCCTTTTTAGTCAAGATTGTTGTTGGGAATGTTAATGATCTAAAAGCTGCCATTTTTTGGTTGTAGGAGTGATTGGATTCTGCTGATAATTATATGTGTTTGTATTGGTTTTCTGAAAATTCCGATTTTAACTGATTGGTTTTGAGTTTTTGTGACAGTTATGTCAAGAAAGCTTATGGAATGGTTTGGTTAGCTCAGTTTCCATTTTAAATTTGGTGCTATTGTGTGTTTTGTTTACGTGTGTTAGGAAGCTATTCGCCTGTATTTGGTTAGCATTTAGTACGATGAAGGCAGCATCAACATACCGAGCATAAAATTTGATTTAGTTGAAGTAAGGGTTTTGATCTGATAGTATATGTCGTTCTTCAAAATTCTGCATAAATAACTCCGCTAAGATGGCTGATAGTGGGCCTCCCATTGGAAGACCATTGGGATCATAGTATGTTTTGTCATTATAAGAGAAATAGTTTTGTTCTGTTATTGTTGTTGTAATTTTAATAATATCATTTCAAAATTTTCACAGTTGGCAAGTCTTTTTCTGAGTATCTCAATGGCTTCTTTTCTTGGTACAGATCTAGTTATACCAGCATGCATAATCCCAACACCCTTCAACCAAAAAAATGGCACACGCCAGCTTACAAGGTTAAAACCAATCCAGTACCCATTTACAAACAAGACAACCCAGATAATGAAATATGAGTCTTTAAAAATCACATTCGCCCCCTGAAATAAACAGTATATCGGTTACACAAACAGAACTTTCAACAAAAGATTCAAAGAACACAACACCCAACATCATGCCAACCCCAGCTCAATAGTAGTTAAACTCTTGAAAGAAAATCATAGCCTCAAAATTACGTACGTATCGTGAATCATTACAGATCCTTCACAAAACTAACTCCAAATCTACTGCGATAGTGAAAGAAAGCTATGAAATATATATGCACGTTAACACCAGCCCTGACACCCTCATAAATAAAAAAGATTACCACAATTCCGTCTTATTTAAAACATCGTCAACATCGAAGAAAATCGACGATATGGCAACACCGCACACAAACGGCAACATTGCAAAAGAGAAAGCGACCATCCCCCACGCACAATGACTAGGCCTACATCCCCTGACCATCATAATCCCGTCACTGTCAATCACCCAGTAGTACAAGTCGTCGTCGACCACACCAACAGTGCGCGGAACATGTATTCCGCCGCTCGTATCGCTGTCGTCGTGCAACCGCGAATGTGACCGCTAAGTGATAAAACCCTTACTAATGTAAATATGTACAGTGTACAGTACAGTATAATATAAGGTATTTAGTGTAAGAAGAATGAAAACTCCACGATAAGATGCCGCACTGAGCGGCAAAATGTACATAGAGTACATACTAGTTCAAACTACAAGACCTTCAGGAAAAATAGGTGAATAAATTATTGAATAGTATCATAGACTAACCAACACAAGTAGACTTCTCAT